CCTTGTGAGGCCAGCTCCAGTTCGGTCTAAGATGATCTAGAAGAACTCAAGACCAATTGACGCGCCAGTAACAGCTGGAGAAGCGCTTTCATGGGAAGCAACATCTCGGAGACATGGCGGGAGGACGCTCAAAACTGGATAAGGTTCGTCCATGCCTATACCGCCCCCATAATCTGCGTCGTTGGCTTCCTTTGCAACATCCTGGGTTCTGTGTGTTTCATAGACATGGAGATGAAAGCTCCAATTACCGTTCTGATGACGGGTCTGGCGATATCCAACGCATTGACGCTGATGGTCTATATTCCTTTCGCTATGATGCTTTTGAATGTCGGCAAAAAACAGGAGCATTCGTCAGCGTACGCATATACTGTCATGTCAGCTATCTCACGCATCTTTATGAACACTAGTGCCATCTCCAACTGGCTAACTGTCACTATTGCAGTCTACATGCTGGCTGTAGTCCAGCGAATCTGCGACCCATTCAAGAGAATCGCCACTTCTCGGGCTAAACAGATCAACTGTCTGGTTTATCTTGTGGTCACAGTTTTGTGTGCCCCAAACTACATTGATCTTCTCACGGACAAACCAGACATTCATCCAAACGTCACCGTTTGGACGTTAGGGGCAGGGTACGAAACACACAGTGCCTTATTCATTGCAGACTTCAACGTTGTAGTGAACTCCGTTCTAATGAGGTTAATACCCACTGTCATTTTAAATTTAGCTGGGTTTGTTTTGGTTAAGGATATGAGACAAGCAGTAACTGCCAGTCGCCATATTCGTATGATTGATACCTGTGAAGCGACAAGATGGAAGTCTAACCGTATTGAGACAATTATTATCACAAAAATGCTTCTGGCAGTGCTAGGAATCTTCACCGCCACCGAATCCTCCAACGGAACACTGATGATCTTAGCGCACGGAAGCCGGTCCTATTGTATCCTGTACACCACTGTAGGACATATACTAACAACTATAGCTTTGATGAATTACGCAGTGACTTCTTTGTTGTATTCACTCATGAGCAGTCAATTTAGAGAAACCTGCAAACAAGCTGGATGTCAACATGTGAGCCAGGTGATCGGATGATGTCAACATGTGGGCCAGTTGATCGATTGATGTCAACATGTGAGCCAGGTGATCGAATGATGTCAACATGTGGGCCAGGTGATCGATTGATATCAACATGTGAGCCAGGTGATCGACTGATGTCAACATGTGGGCCAGGTGATCGAATGATGTCAACATGTGGGCCAGGTGATCGATTGATGTCAACATGTGGGCCAGGAGATCGATTAATGTCAACATGTGGGCCAGGAGATTGAATGATGTCAACATGTGGGCCAGGTGATCGATTGATGTCAACATGTGGGCCAGAAGATTGAATGATGTCAACATGTGGGCCAGGAGATTGAATGATGTCAACATGTGGGTCAGGAGATCGAATGATGTCAACATGTGGGCCAGGGGATCGATTGATGTCAACATGTGTGCCAGGGGATTGATTCATGCCAACATGTGGGCCAGGGGATCGATTGATGTTAACATGTGGGCCAGGAGATCAACTGATGACAACATGTGGGCCAGGAGATCGATTGATGTCAGGAATAAATCAAGCAATGATTACAATCCTGCGGGTTTTCAGAAATTAATGTGTGGTCTTGCAAGTTATTATAAATTTATGTGTGGTCTTGCAAGTTATAAACTATAAATTTATCAAGGGGGTGGTGTAGATAAATGATGGATAGATGAATTGGTAGGTAGATGGATGGATGTATGGGTAGATGGATGTATGGGTAGATGGATGATGTGTGGGTAGATGGATGTATGGTTAAAGAGATAGATGAGAACTAATGGATGGATGGGGTAGGAGAGAGAAGATTGGGGTGGATGGAAAGAAGGATAGTTGATGGATGGACTGACAGATGATGGATAGACAGATGGATGGACAGGTTGATGGGTAGACGGATGGATGGACAGGTGATGGATAGACAATAAATCAATAGACAGGTGATGGATAGATGATAGATCAATGGACAGGTGATGGATAGATGATAGATCAATAAAGAGGTGATAGATAGATGATATATTAATGGACAGGTGATGGATAGATGATATATTAATGGACAGGTGATGGAAAGATGATGGATCGATAGACAGGTGATAGATAGATGATAAATCAATAGACAGATGATAGATCAACAGACAGGTGATAGATAGATGATAGATCAATGGACAGGTGATGGATAGATGATAGATCGATTGACAGGTGATGTATAGATGATAGATCAATGGACAGGTGATGGATAGATGATAGATCAATGGACAGGTAATAGATAGATGATAGATCAATAGACAGGTGATGGATAGATGATAGATCAATGGACAGGTGATAGATAGATGATAAATCAATAGACAGGTGATGGATAGATGATAGATCAATGGACAGGTGATGGATAGATGATAGATCAATAGACAGGTGATGGATAGATGATAGATCAATAGACAGGTGATGGATAGATGATTGATCAATGGACAGGTAATGGATAGATGTTAGATCAATAGACAGGTGATAGATAGATAATAGATCAATGGACAGGTGATGGATAGATGATAAATTAATAGACAGGTGATGGATAGATGATAAATCAATATACAGGAGATGGATAGATGATACATCAACAGACAGGTGATAGATAGATGATAGATCAATGGACAGGTGATGGATAGATGATAGATCAATGGACAGGTGATAGATGATAGATCAATGGACAGGTGATAGATGATAGATCAATAGACAGGTAATGGATAGATGATAGATCAAAAGACAGGTGACAGATAGATGATAGATCAATGGACAGGTGATAGATAGATGATAAATCAATAGACAGGTGATAGATAGATGATAGATAAATGGACAGATGATAGATAGATGATAAATCAACAGACAGGTGATAGATAAATGATAGATCAATGAACAGGTAATGGATAGATGATAGATCAATGGACAGGTGATAGAAAGATGATAGATCAATGGACAGGTGATAGATAGATGATAAATCAATAGACAGGTGATGGATAGATGATAAATCAATAGACAGGTGATGGATAGATGATATATCAATGGACAGGTGATAGATAGATGATAAATCAATAGACAGGTGATAGATAGATGATAGATAAATGGACAGATGATAGATAGATGATAAATCAACAGACAGGTGATAGATAAATGATAGATCAATGGACAGGTAATGGATAGATGATAGATCAATGGACAGGTGATAGATAGATGATAGATCAATGGACAGGTGATAGATAGATGATAGATCAATGGACAGGTGGTAGATAGATGATAAATCAACAGACAGGTGATAGATAGATGATAGATCAATGGACAAGTGGTAGATAGATGATAAATCAACAGACAGGTGATAGATAGATGATAGATCAATGGACAGGTAATAGATAGATGATAGATCAATGGACAGGTGATAGATAGATTATAGATCAATGGACAGGTGATAGATAAATGATAGATCAATGGACAGGTGGTAGATAGATGCTAAATCAACAGACAGGTGATAGATAGATGATAGATCAATAGACAGGTAATGTACGGATAGACATGTGATGGACATATGATATATTAATGAATGGGTGGGTGAGTTGGTGGAAGGTGGATGACAGGAGAGAAGAGAGGGGGTGGATGGACAGATGGGGTAGAAGAGGAGAGAAGAGAGGAGGTTCAGATTGATGGATTTGGATCAATAGACAGGTAATAGATAGATGATAGATCAATGGACAGGTAATGGATAGATGATAGATCAATGGACAGGTGATAAACAGATGATAGATCAATGGACAGGTAATTTTATAGATGATAGATCAATGGACAGGTAATGGATAGATGATAGATCAATGGACAGGTAATGGATAGATGATAGATCAATGGACAGGTAATGGATAGATGATAGATCAATAGACAGGTGATGGATAGATGATAGATCAATGGACAGGTGATAGATAGATGATAGATCAATAGACAGGTGATGGATAGATGATAGATCAATAGACAGGTGATGGATAGATGATAGATCAATAGACAGGTGATGGATAGATGATAGATCAATAGACAGGTAATGTACAGATAGACTGTGATGGACGGATGGATGGATATATGATATATTGATGAATGGGTGGGTGAGTTGGTGGAAGGGTGGATAGATATGCTAGAAGGAGAGAAGAGAGGGGGTGGATGGACAGATGGGGTAGGAGAGGAGATAAGAGAGGAGGTTCAGAATGATGGATTTGGATGAATGGGGTTGAAGGCAAAAGAGGAAGGAAGAAGAAAAAAAGAGAAAAGAGAGAAAGACAGATATAAAGAGGCACAGACATCAAAAGTCTGTCAACAGTGAGACTAATCACGGACAAGAATAAACTGAGTGTTATGAACATTTTATGTACTTCCAACTATCACGTCCTATCACTGACAACTCTGAGCTGTCATAATAACTTGACTCATATGTCCTTACATACATTGATGTCATACACCTCGTACTTACACATCCTAAGATGAAAGTCACTCCCACACATCTTATGTACCTTAAAACAGAATTCACCCCAAACGCTTTATACTCACACATACTAAGATGAAAGTCACTCCCACACATCTTATGTACCTTGAAACAGAATTCACCTCAAACACTTTATACGTACACATCCTAAGATGAAAGTCACTCCCACACATCTTATGTACCTTGAAACAGAATTCACCTTATACACTTTATACGTACACATACTACGAACTATTCACCACAGACACACTATGCTCTACGCTCAAAGACAGTTTCAAGACTTGTACCTTACACCCCTACACCCTAAAAAAAATGTCACATCACACCCCTTGTACTCGAACTCTCGCCCTTCCCATCTTCACAAGTTTGCTTTTGTGAAAATATTCATTTATTTGTAACTGAACACAAAAAAGGATTGAACGGTTAATCCGTCGTAGCTTTCCGATACCAAAATCTGGCTCGGAAGTCATCACTGCAGGATACAAACGCTGGACCTGTTGGCGAGTGGGCAAGATATCTGACCACTCCGTTGTGACCTGGGGGGAGAGATGCGGACAATACAGGCAATAAGTGAGACAATGTATGGGGATACCGGCAGTCGACACATGACGAGAAACATAAACATATAACCTGCAGAAATCACAAATGTACACAAACTTATATATATATGTTGCTGTTGTTCATCCATCGTGAGTTATGAAGACCACTTTCATCCAAAGTAGTAGCTGGATGAAAGTGACTTGTGCAAGGACTTGGATTTAAGTGAGGAAGAGTTGCACAATTCGTCGACCGCCTGTGTCTATCTTGATCCATTGGCACAACAACGTCGAGCGGATTGGAAATGAACAGGGGCAGTGAATGACCAAGGTGTCTTGAGTGCCCTGCCTTGCTTAAAGCTCTAAACAGTGCCAGCTGGTAATTGCCTTCTTGTCCGTTGAACCAAAGAGACAATCTGCTGCAACTCGCTTTGTAATGCCTGGGTGCCAGGTTCGATGCCAGCTGCATGTGATTTGGCAGCAGACGGCCTTGCATTGGTTTTGAGAGTGGTACCAAGCCCTGACCGTTCAGTAAGCAATGGCAAACTACTGACTATAAATGTGCCTGGAAAAACTACAACAGCCAAAAAATGCTCGGGTTGGCATGGCAACATTCAGTGATAAACAACTAACTTTTCCTATGTTCACCCTTTAAAAGGTAATTGGCATGCTGTTTTGTGGTTTACAGCTAGGCTGCGATATTTATGCCTTTTAGCCCGACATTTGACTTCAGCAAACTCCTAAATAGTTGCTTTTTATGACATGCCTGCCATGGAGCTGTCATCTTTTTTTCTTCCTTTTCCTCGCATTCACCGGATGTAAACTCCAGCAGAAATTTCTGGCTGTTCAGCCACTTTTGGACTTTGGTCCTGTTTTAGCACCTGAATTATGTGTGCACATCCATTTTACAAATCTAGTTTACCTATATCCAGATTTCTCTTATCTCTGCCATTTGTTGAATTGCTACTATTTACTACTTTTCAAGATCTTTAGACAGAAAGACAAATATTCAGGAGAAATCCACTGCAATACCACATTATAAACAACAAATGCACGCTGTGGCAAGAAAGCCTTCATCAGGATGCAACAAAAAATGGACAATATGTAAATACTATATAAACAGAAAAAAAGAAAGACAAGGCAGAATGTATAAAACAGGCAGGAGACACACACAAAATTAGGACACTGAAGAAGCCCACTGACCTAAGGAAAGCAGCCTCTGTCTCTCAGCATTCCTGGAGTCCCAGCAACACAAACTGGTGGTCTTTTCGTCCGGGAACAGAACTGAAAACAAGAAGGCTTCTGATGTTCAGACAGGCGGCTCAAAATTTGGGAGGCATTCATTCTTCTTCTCCTTCTAAGTAACAATATATCTTGCCTGCAGTGTTGGATTTAGATATAACCTACCAAAGATACAGCTTAGGGCCTCACAATTGGCAGTGGCTTTTATAAAAACCTTTGCTTATCCACAAATATAATTTTTTTTTTTTTAATTTTCTATCATTTTTCCTTTTGTTTTATTAATAGTATTGTAAATTTATTACCTCAGACTATCAATTATTCTAACTCACAGCATGTTTAGTCAGTCAGTCAGCTAGTCAGTCAGTCAGCTAGTCAGTCAGTCAGTCAGCCAGCCAGCCAGCCAGCCAGCCAGCTAGCCAGTCAGTCAGTCAGTTAGTTAGTTAATGAACAGATTATCCTCATTGCACATGAGACAAGCTCATAAGCACTCAGATCCCACCTTCAGTATATCCTCCTGTGTGTGGCAACTGATAACACTAGTTCTGTATTGGTTTACTGTTCTTCTTTGGCTACCTGTATAGTGTTTGGCGACGCCTCTTTTAACCTGCAGTTCTTGTAGTCTGTTGAGTGTTGCTGATTCCTCTCTGTCTACTGAATCATCTTCTCGTCCTGCTTCCTCAGGAGCATCAAGAATGTCAGCCCGGCCCAATGCTTTACCTGTAACAGCCGAGGCCCTGCCAGCCTCATAGTCTATTTAAACTTAACACAATAATGAGAACATTTAACTCATAGCGTAATTTAACACTATCGACTGGAAAGACAGGCAAATCCTGCAGAATGACCACTGCTGCCCTCACACTATGTTGTGGTTTACAACTAGTCTATGATATCTGCAACCTTTCAACACATCTGATTTCTGCAAAAACTTAATTCGTCGCATTTTATGATATGATTGATAAGGGGACAGTGAATCCATTACTTTGACCTCCCAAAATGGGGAACTAGAGAAGAAATGAACCAAATTTACTTTCACAGGGTCACAATTTGGGCACACAGGCCCATCCTACATTTTGCCCTTCAAAGAGATGGGAAAGTTAGAGGGTGAGCTATATGTTTAGGAATGGATATTACAAACTAGCCTGAGCTGGTTGACGGCCTATCCTCCATTGGAGGGATATAAGGATGAAGAGCTGGTACTGACCGTAATCCTCTGTGTGGTTGAAGCAAGCCACTGTTCGGTGGTCCATGCCTCCGGTCACTCCCGCTCCGGTGAAGACAATCAGACATCTGTTAGTGGTCAGCTCCCATAGCTTGACCAGCGAGTCCTTCCCACATGACAGCAGGTACTGTCGGACAGAACAAGAGAATCCATATTTGATCCACAACATTACTGTACGTACCACACTGCAGACCGGCCAGTTCTACGTTATATCCTATGTACCCCAAATAAGACTGACCAGTTCTATGTTATGTCATATGTATCACACACCAGACTGACCAGTTCTATGTTATGTCATATGTATCACACACCAGACCGTCCAGTTCTATGTTGTGTCATATGTACCACACACCAGACTGTCCAGTTCTATGTTATGTCATATGTACCACACACAAGACTATCCAGTTCTATGTTATGTCATAAATACCACACACCAGACTATCCAGTTCTATGTTATATCATACGTACCACACATCAGACCGTCCAGTTCTATGTTATGTCATATGTACCACACACTAGACTGTCCAGTTCTATGTTGTCATATGTACCACACACCAGACCAACAGTTTTATGTTTTATCATATGTACCTCACACCAGACCGGTCAGTTCTACATTATGTCATATGTACCACACACTAGACAGGTCAGTTCTACATTATGTCATATGCACCACACACCCTACTGTCCAGTTCTATGTCATGTCATATGTACCACACACCAGACTGTCCAGTTCTATGTTATGTCATATGTACCACACACCAGACTGTCCAGTTCTATGTTATGTCATATGTACCACACACCAGACTGTCCAGTTCTATGTTATGTCATATGTACCACACACCAGACTGTCCAGTTCTATGTTATGTCATATGTACCACACACCAGACTGTCCAGTTCTAAGTTATGTCATATGTACCACACACCAGACCGGCCAGTTCTATGTTATGTCATATGTACCACACACCAGACTGTCCAGTTCTATGTTATGTCATATGTATCACACACCAGACTGTCCAGTTCTATGTTTTATCATATGTACCACACACGAGACTATCCAGTTCTATGTTATGTCATATGTACCACACACTAGACAGGTCAGTTCTACATTATGTCATATGCACCACACACCCTACTGTCCAGTTCTATGTCATATCATATGTACCACACACCAGACTGTCCAGTTCTATGTTATGTCATATGTACCACACACCAGACCGGCCAGTTCTATGTTATGTCATATGTACCACACACCAGACTGTCCAGTTCTATGTTATGTCATATGTACCACACACCAGACTGTCCAGTTCTATGTTATGTCATATGTACCACACACCAGACTGTCCAGTTCTAAGTTATGTCATATGTACCACACACCAGACCGGCCAGTTCTATGTTATGTCATATGTACCACACACCAGACTGTCCAGTTCTATGTTATGTCATATGTATCACACACCAGACTGTCCAGTTCTATGTTATGTCATATGTACCACACACGAGACTATCCAGTTCTATGTTATGTCATTTGTACCACTCACAAGACCGTCCAGTTCTATGTTATGTCATATGTACCACACACAAGACCGGCCAGTTCTGTGTTATATCATATGTACCACACACCAGACTTTCCAGTTCTATGTTATGTCATATGTACCACACACCAGACCGGCCAGTTCTATGTTATGTCATATGTACCACACACCAGACTGTCCAGTTCTATGTTATGTCATATGTACCACACACCAGACTATCCAGTTCTATGTCATGTCATATGTACCACATATAAAATAAGCCAGGCAACCAGAGTTCCAACATTATAGCAAATGGCTATAGCATTATAGCCCCATACGTGCTCCGTTCTTGTGCCAACAACAACAACAACAACAACAACAAAAACATACAAAAAGTCCATCACTGTCTTTTGTGAAAAAAGTGAAACAGTGTAAGCAAAGTCAGTAGAATACACAGGCATTAAATACATAAGGCAGCCATCAGAAGTGCCAACACAAACATTCTGACACTAGAAATGAAATTCATCGCTGAGGGAAGCAGCAGTTACAATAGATGAGTAGTTGCATAGGCAATTAATCGCATGGTACCACTATTTCTTTACAAATTAGCCGCCTGCCATTTTCTATATCTGCAGTTCACAACATAAACCATGCTGGACACAGTTGAAAGGCATTCTAAAGGAGTTCCACAGCTGCCAGTGTTATGCCATGCACTGGCGTCGGTAGCCTGGCGACAGAACTACATAATTTCAGTCTAATATTGAGGAAAATGCTGTGACTAATTATAGACAGAAGCAACAAAGTTGGCAGGACTGAACACAGTAAATCTGCCATACTGACCCAGAAGTCCAGCAAGTTCTATGTTATGACTTATCTTCTGGCACATCGTTGGCCCCACGCCAGTTACCTAAGTACAGTTTTGATGATTTTCACCTAAGCGCAATTTCAGAGCTGTTATTTATCGCTTTACAATATGTCAAAGCAGGCACACGAACTTGTGCTTCCAAACATGTCAAAGCAGGCACATGAACTTGTGCCTCCAAACATGTCAAAGCAGGCACACGAACTTGTGCCTCCAAACTATGTCAAAATCAAGTATTACTGCCACTACAAATTGCCATCTGCCATTTCAGATGCAGCAAATTAAACTAAGCATTGGGAAAGCCAGCCTCCATCTGACAGACAGCATAAGACAATCCCTGTCTGCAGAAAAAACAATCGCATACAAAGCAGATTCACTCCCACCCTACGCTACCAGTGCCAGACATGGTCACTCACAACAAACCAGAAAATTAATTTCGTAACAATGGAGATAAGATGTCTGAGAAGGGCTGCATGAGTTACCGTAACCAGAAGAGGTAAAATCAGGAATGAGGTCATAAGAGAACAAGTCAGCATAAAACCAATTTTATATTACATAAAAAATCAACAAATCAGATTGCCTACTTAGAGAGAACACCTTCTGATGTCATACCATATAAGGCATACATCAAAAGAGGACAATGATTAAGATCACAAGGTAGAAAAAGAACAAAATGAAAAGATAACATTAGTAATTCTGCAACAGCACGATGTGTCTGTGGTGATTTGACCAGAAAAGCAAAAATCATAACACAACATCTACCTTGACACCTAAAAAAAGGTAAAGTAAAGGTAAAGTCGGGAGACGTGAACCAGCGTACGGTTATAAACCATAAGTGCTCTGCCACCAGTATGGACAGCTAATAAGAAACTGTCCGCCTGTGTCGACGTCCGCACGCAACTCCGTAGCTACAGCGACGTTCCTCCATTTACTCCAGAGTGTTAACTCTGGTGCCCATTTGTTAGAGGCTGGGTGAACCCCAAGAGCCGACTGATTTCGAACACTGGCCGTGGGCTGCAGTGAGTCGCAGCTGGATTTGAAAGCGAGTCTCCTGTCAACTGCACAGATGCGGCCCTCATAGCAGTAAAAGAGGAAGTGGAGAAGACTTCACAGAGGAACATGATCTTCTTGTATACACAGATTTAGCACTATGGTGACTGGCATACTGCTAGTGAATGCGCATCACATCAGATCTGTCAGTTCTATCTTGCTGCCTATTTTAGAGTTCCTGGAGTAGACCAAGGATCAGACCTGTCAGTTCTATCTTGCTGCCTACCTTAGAGTTCCTGGAGTAGACCAAGGATCAGACATGTCAGTTCTATCTTGCTGCCTACCTTAGAGTTCCTGGAGTAGACCACAGAGCAGACCTGCCAGTTCTATCCTGCTGCCTACCTTAGAGTTCCTGGAGTAGACCAAGGATCAGACATGTCAGTTCTATCTTGCTGCCTACCTTAGAGTTCCTGGAGTAGACTAGGGATCAGACATGTTAGTTCTATCTTGCTGCCTACCTTAGAGTTCCTGGAGTAGACCACAGAGCAGACCTGCCAGTTCTATCCTGCTGCCTACCTTAGAGTTCCTGGAGTAGATCTGCCAGTTCTATCTTGCTGCCTACCTTAGAGTTCCTGGAGCAGACCTGCTAGTTCTATCTTGCTGCCTACCTTAGAGTTCCCTGGAGTAGACAACAGAGCAGACCTGCCAGTTCTATCCTGCTGCCTACCTTAGAGTTCCTGGAGTAGACCAAGGATCAGACATGTCAGTTCTATCTTGCTGCCTACCTTAGAGTTCCTGGAGTAGACTAGGGATCAGACATGTTAGTTCTATCTTGCTGCCTACCTTAGAGTTCCTGGAGTAGACCACAGAGCAGACCTGCCAGTTCTATCCTGCTGCCTACCTTAGAGTTCCTGGAGTAGATCTGCCAGTTCTATCTTGCTGCCTACCTTAGAGTTCCTGGAGCAGACCTGCTAGTTCTATCTTGCTGCCTACCTTAGAGTTCCTGGAGTAGACCACAGAGCAGACCTGCCAGTTCTATCCTGCTGCCTACCTTAGAGTTCCTGGAGTAGACCAAGGATCAGACATGTCAGTTCTATCTTGCTGCCTACCTTAGAGTTCCTGGAGTAGACTAGGGATCAGACATGTTAGTTCTATCTTGCTGCCTACCTTAGAGTTCCTGGAGTAGACCACAGAGCAGACCTGCCAGTTCTATCCTGCTGCCTACCTTAGAGTTCCTGGAGTAGATCTGCCAGTTCTATCTTGCTGCCTACCTTAGAGTTCCTGGAGCAGACCTGCTAGTTCTATCTTGCTGCCTACCTTAGAGTTCCTGGAGCAGAGATGCCAGTTCTATCTTGCTGCCTACCTTAGAGTTCCTGGAATAGACCACAGAGCAGACCTCCTTGCCGTCGTGAGCCTTGTGGAAGGTGTTGATACACTTGTGGCTGACCCCATCCCAGATCTTGATGGAGCCATCGATGGAACATGAGGCGAAGGTGTTGGCGTTGGGACTCCACTTCAGCTGGGATACAAGATACACAATAGGGCATGAAAGAAATGTCAATCCAGTCTGCATACAAATAAGTCAGATCTGTAAAACAGATGTGCACCCAAGACTCAGGTTCTGGAACAAGACTAGAATCCAGGGGTGGCAAACAACCAGAACTTTCCGAGGCGTTTACGATAAAAAACAAAAACAAAAATGAAATATTTTGGTCGCTTGAAACACATGAAAGTTTAGATAGAGCAATAAGGGAAACTCTAGGAAGAGAGGAAGAGGAAGGCCAAAGAAAAGATGGGTGCAGGATGTGGCGGACGATCTCTAGATGAATGTGTCGGATGTGGGATATCTTGTGATCGAGAAGTTTGTCTGGAGTTGTTATGGCAGCAAGGTTCTGCAAATGACATGCTACTGACTGACTGACTAATTTGTAAGCAGACTGTTGGTTTCTCGCCTCTCAGACAAATGCACTCCGACTTTAAAGGAAACATCCCTAATTAATGTATTTAATGGAAACATCCCTAATTAATGTCTTTAATGGAAACATCCCTAATTAATGTCTTTAATGGAAACATCCCTAATTAATGTCTTTAATGGAAACATCCCTAATTAATGTCTTTAATGGAAACATCCCTTATTAATGTCTTTAATGGAAACATCCCTAATTAATGTCTTTAATGGAAACATCCCTAATTAATGTCTTTAATGGAAACATCCCTAATTAATGTCTTTAATGGAAACATCCCTAAATAATGTCTTTAATGGAAACATCCCTAATTAATTTCTTTAATGGAAACATCCCTAATTAATGTCTTTAATGGAAACATCCCTAATTAATGTCTTTAATGGAAACATCACTAATTAATGTCTTTAATGGAAACATTCCTAATTAATGTCTTTAATGGAAACATCACTAATTAATGTCTTTAATGGGATGCTTGTCAAGGGGCAGTGGGCTCCACCCCCCCCCCCCCCGCCCAACCCAATAAAGGCCCAGAACCCACACAAGGAGAACATTAAATACAGCACTATACAAATTCCCAGATCTGTCATAAAATCTCCCTAAAACACTTCAACAGCTCCCCGTGTGCGTTCCGTGGCCCTTTTAAAGGGGGGGGGAAAGAACAGACCCACTGCCTACCCAAAAGCTTGTCATAAGAGTCGACTAATTGGGTGCCTTCTTCAAAGTCAGAGTGCATCTGCCTGAGAGGCAAGAAACCAACAGTCTGCATACAAATGAGTCAGATCTGTTAAATGGGTGCACACGCAACACTCAGGTTTCGGAACAGGACTGCAGTCGAGAGGTGAATAAATAACCAGAATTGTCCGCCAGAGTTGACAGCTGGTGAACACGAAGAAGAAGAAGAAGAGCTTCAACAGCAGATACATCTTCGTACATGTTGTTGTTGCCGCAAATACTCTGCTTCTACACAAAGTAAAATGGAAATATTATGGGATGGATACTGGCAACACTGGTGTTGGAATTCTGTGCTAGCTGCAGAATCAGAAGTTCAACAAATGATTCATGACAATTCCTGCCCAAGTGATGTAATTGTATATACAGATGGTTCTGTGGTGAGGGGCAGACGAAGTGTATGGGGGTTCATAACAAAGGCGAATGGATATTGCTTAGTGCAACGAAGCCTGGTATGTGATATCACTCAAACTAGATTGAGAATGGAAGTGGAGGCAGTCACTGCTGCCTTCCGCTGGCTTGAGAATCAGCTGTTCACACATGCCGTGATTGTAACTGACCCGCAGAGCATGTTGAGAAAGGTAAAGACAGGTATGCTCTGTGCAGAGTGGCAAGCATCACTTCAGAGATCCCAGGTAGTTAGCATCCTTTGGACAGTCTCTCCAGCTCATGCCGGTGATTTGGGAAATAAGCAGGCAGATAGATTGGCCAGTTCTGCATGCACTGCTTGATGGTGAACTGATGAATGACAAGCTGGATGTTGTGAGGGCCCTCTGGGAGTGAGAGAACAGTATGGAAGAGCAAATAGATCATTATGGTCTGAGGAGAATGGCGCTGCGAGGAGTAACCAGGGGAACTGGCTGATGTTGGACACTCAAGGAACAGGTGAGATGGATGTACAATCAGACAGTTAACTGATGTCATCGGAATAGGAACCCTTTATTTGCTGCTGAAGATGGGAACGGAGCGCTTATGTGCTTATGGGAGTGTCCCGAGTGCTGTGATGTCAATTCTTAATTCAACATTCACCTTTCTATCCTGTTATTCCCCAAATAAATCTCCGCCCTGTTATTCCCAAAACAAATGTTTCCCTAAGCTATTCCCCTAAATCAATCTTTACCCTGTTATTCATAAAACAAATATTCTCCATTCTAATTTCCAAAACTTACCCTGTTATTTCCCACACTTACCCCTGTTATTTCCCAAACTTACCTGGTATTTCCCACACTTACTCCTGTTATTTCCCAAACTAACCTGTTATTTCCCACACTTACCCCTGTTATTTCCCACAGTTACCCCTGTTATTTCCCAAACTTACCTGTTATTTCCCACACACCCCTGTTATTTCCCAAACTTACCTGTTATTTCCCAAACTTACCTGTTATTTCCCACACTCACCCCTGTTATTTCCCACACTTACCCCTGTTATTTCCCAAACTTACCTGTTATTTCCCACACTTACCCTTGTTATTTCCCAAACTTACCCCGGTTATTTCCCCACACTTACCCCCGTTATTTCCCACACTTACCCCTGTTATTCTCCACACTTACCCCTGTTATTCCTCCACTATGCTGATCCTGCGGGTTGCTGCCAACAAAACACTGGAATGTGTTCACATCGTACAGTCGGACTGAAAGCATTCAACATACAATGTACGTTACTGTCAACAACATAACTAGTCAGAAAGATCACTGCCTGGTCTACATATGCAAAGAGCCACATTGGTGTGGTAGCTAAAGTTTTCGCTCACTAAACATCGGGGGAGGAGGGGGGGAGGGGGGAAAATTTACCCTAAATATGGACAACAGAGTGTAGTCCACATACGACACTAAATGTAGTTAGTTGTTTAGTTAATATTTCCTCTTGAGCCTAGGGTGCTGTACAGGCAGGGCAGAGGTCATAGCTCTCCATGTCTGGCGGTTCGTTGCTTTGGGTCTTGTCTGTTCATTAGGCCAACGGTTAAGCCTACCCTGGTGATGGTTCTATGCAGGGTTTCTCTTGGCCTTCCCTATTCTCTTCTTCCCTTCCGGTGTCCATATGCAGTGTGGGGCGATTTTTATCTTGAATGAATGAGTGAGTGAATGAGAGAGTAAATGAATAAATTCTCATCTTCCTTTGGTCCTACTGGCTGTATTCAGCAGAAAGTCCTGGTTGTTTGGTCCTACTGGCTGTATTCAGCAGAAAGTCTTGGTTGTTTGGTCCTACTGGCTGTATTCAGCAGAAAGTCCTGGTTGTTTGGTCCTACTGGCTGTATTCAGCAGAAAGTCTTGGTTGTTTGGTTGTTTTCAGATCCTACTGGCGGTATTCAGCAGAAAGTCTGTGGTTTGTTTGGTCAGCAGCAAAAGTCCTGGTTGTTTGGTCCTACTGGCTGTATTCAGCAGAAAGTCTTTCAGGTTTAGTTGTGTTTGGTCCTACTGCAGCTGTATTCAGCAGAGAAGTCTTGGGTTGTTTGGCGGTCAGCAGAAAGTCTGGTTGTGGTCCTACTGGCTGTATTCAGCAGAAAGTCTTGGTTGTTTGGTCCTACTGGCTGTATTCAGCAGAAAGTCTTGGTTGTTTGGTCCTACTGGCTGTATTCAGCAGTAAGTCTTGGTTGTTTGGTCCTACTGGCTGTATTCAGCAGAAAGTCCTGGTTGTTCATCTGTATCATACACTGGTCCTGTTGCAGGACCTGCTTACGTTTTACAGATCTACCTAACTGTGTGCTGACTGGTGGTTTCTCATCTCTCAAGTTGATGTGGTCTGTACTCATCTCCTGATTATTTTTAATCCACAGATATAAGTCTAATAAGACAAAATGAAACAACACCAACAAGAAATGTGACAACTATAGTGATGATTCTTACTTGTTGGGTGTCTGGTACCAGCAAGTAGATAATCTCCGCTCGGATGGAAAGACACCTGTGTCAGCTCGGAGGCTTCCTATTGGATAGACACACACACAAAAAGAGATGTCAGTTAATTTTTTTTTTTTTTTTTGGTAGCTGAAAACAAATCTTTAACATTATTACAACATCATTTTTAAGCTTAATGTACTGTGTTCTGTAAAACTGACATATACTTTATGATTTTTCCTGTATTTTCACACTTTCATAGCTTTACAGCAGTCAACTCACTTCAACACAACACCTTTCACCCAACAAATACTAACAATAATGGGTAACTAACATGTGGGAATTCCCTGAAAAAAAACTAAAGTTTGCAAAGGTGACTATTTAAGAATGCTTCTTTCGGAGTCTGAGTGCATCTGCCAGAGAGGCGAAGAACTAACAGTCTGTATATTTACAAAAACCACATTTATGAAACAGAAGTACTGGAACAAGATCAAAGTCCAGAAGTGGACAAACAACCAGATCTTTCTGCCAGAGCTTACAGCCGGTGAGCACACTAAAAATAACCGCATCGTTGTCTTCTTTTGTTGTGTGCTGATGAAGGTTTTTTGACAGCAACATTCATTTTGTCACCTGTGACTGTATTTTACTGAAAAGCTGACTAGTTCTACATTTCATTTAGTGTTTTTTCTTTCAATGAAAGCTTGGCTGGTAATTGTTTAGTCTCCAAGATGAAACTTCCTTAGCCTGGCAAGACGAACTTCCTGTTTGGAAATGGCGGTGCCAAAACAGTTTTTGCGCAGACGTGACATTGTAATTAAAATTTACTCTTTACCTGTGTGTGTTTTTTTCGACAACAAAGTGCCTATATTACCCTATATTACAAATTTGTATGAGATGGATTTTTTGTTATTCATGAAATCTTAAGTATTCTGTGGTTTAGGGGTGTTATGATTAAATTAATTCTGTCAAAAGCCGCAGTGGCTGCCATGTTGTAATAACGATAATGTAGCCATATGAACCATGCTCCCATATGGCAGTGCACAGGTAAGACCACAGTTTACCCTAGCAACATCCTTTTTCATATGGCAGTGCACAGGTAAGACCACAGTTTACCCTAGCAACATCCTCTCCCATATGGCAGTGCACAGGTAAGACCACAGTCTACCCTAGCAACATCCTCTCCCATATGGCAGTGCACAGGTAAGACTACAGTCTACCCTAGCAACATCCTTTCCCATATGGCAGTGCACAGGTAAGATTACAGTCTACCCTAGCAACCTCCTCTCCCATATGGCAGTGCACAGGTAAGACCACAGTTTACCCTAGCAACATCCTTTTTCATATGGCAGTGCACAGGTAAGACCACAGTTTACCCTAGCAACATCGTTTTTCATATGGTAGTGCACAGGTAAGACCACAGTCTACCCTAGCAACATCCTCTCCCATATGGCAGTGCACAGGTAAGACCACAGTTTACCCTAGCAACATCCTCTCCCATATGGCAGTGCACAGGTAAGACCACAGTCTACCCTAGCAACATCCTTTTTCATATGGCAGTGCACAGGTAAGACCACAGTCTACCCTAGCAACATCCTCTCCCATATGGCAGTGCACAGGTAAGACCACAGTCTACCCTAGCAACATCCTCTCCCTTATGGCAGTCTACAGGTAAGACTACAGTCTACCCTAGCAACATCCTCTCCCTTATGGCAGTCTACAGGTAAGACTACAGTCTACCCTAGCAACATCCTCTCCCTTATGGCAGTCTACAGGTAAGACTACAGTCTACCCTAGCAACATCCTCTCCCATATGGCAGTCTACAGGTAAGACTACAGTCTACCCTAGCAACATCCTCTCCCATATGGCAGTGCACAGGTAAGACTACAGTCTACCCTAGCAACATCCTCTCCCTTATGGCAGTCTACAGGTAAGACCACAGTCTACCTTAGCAACTCAAGGTGCTGAAGTCAGAGGCACCAGCCAGGAGGCGCCACCACAGCAATCAGGATGCCACGCACAAATGCAATCTTCATCTGCTCCTTCTTCAGCATTCTGGGCCTTTGAGGTTCACTGCTGCAGATATCACCCACGTCTATTTATCTTTCTGGTTGACCTTTTCTTTCCAGTTATTGACACCAAGTGTTTGCAGGTCTGTCCGGACATTATCTCTCCACTGTTTTCTTGGTTTGCCTCGTGGTCTACGACCATTCATCTCCCTTGTGTATAGTTTTCACTTCTCTGTCATCTGACATTCTCTCAATATACCCCAACCATTTAAGTCTATTAGCTCTCATGATGACAGTGATCAGTGGTGATTTAAACAGATTGTGAATTTCGTTGTTGCTTCTCACTCTCCATATCCCGCTTTGATGGCTCCAAAGATTCGTCGTAAGACTGTTTTCGAAAACCTGTAATAAGGCTTCATCTCTTTTAGTTGTGCTCCAAGTTTCAGAGCCATATAACACGACTGGTCTTATCAACGTTTTATATATTTTGATCTTGGTGTTACCAGACAGACACTTTGACTTTAGCAGATGTTGAAGAGCACAGTTCACTTCTATATCTGCTACAGTTATTATTTTTTTGCCTCTGTGATGAAGCTTCTCTAGCCCTGCAATAAATGGGAGATTGATTACAACTGAAATATTACATCAGAAGAACTAACCTGAATACTTTTAAAGGCCTTCTTGACAGACGGCTTGGAGTACTCGAAGAAACGGATGCTGTAATCATCACTCCCTGACACCAAGATGGATTCAAACGGATGAAAGTCCAAACAGGTCACCTCCTGGACGTATTTTGGGAAAAGTGAAACATAGTAAATAGGCTTTCTGAGCAAATTATGGCCAATGTAAAACGAAATCATTTTCTTGAAAAATTACAGCGAAAGTACAGCTCAGTCAATCACCTCCTGGACAAACTATAATTTAGTCAATCACCCCCTGGACAAACTATAACTGAGTCAATCACCCCCTGGACAAACTATAACTTAGACAATCACATCCTGGACAACCTATAACTTAGTCAATCACCCCCTAGACAAACTATAACTTAGACAATCACATCCTGGACAACCTATAACTTAGTCAATCACCCCCTAGACAAACTATAACTTAGACAATCACATCCTAGACAAACTATAACTTAGTCAATCACCCCCTGGACAAACTATAACTTAGACAATCACATCCTGGACAAACTATAACTTAGTCAATCACCCCCTGGACAAACTATAACTCAGTCAATCACCTCCTGGACATACCATAACTCAATCACTTTCTGGACAAACCATAACTTAGTCAATCACTTCCTGGACAAACTATAACTTAGTCAATCACTTCCTGGACAAACCATAATTTAGTCAATCACCTCCTGGACAAACCATAATTTAGTCAATCACCTCCTGGACAAACTATGGGTCCAGTATGGACAAACTATAACTTAGTCAATCACCCCCTGGACAAACTATAACTTAGACAATCACATCCTGGACAAACTATAACTTAGTCAATCACCCCCTGGACAAACTATAACTCAGTCAATCACCTCCTGGACATACCATAACTCAATCACTTTATGGACATACCATAACTCAATCACTTTCTGGACAAACCATAACTTAGTCAATCACTTCCTGGACAAACTATAACTTAGTCAATCACTTCCTGGACAAACCATAATTTAGTCAATCACTTCCTGGACAAACCATAATTTAGTCAATCACCTCCTGGACAAACTATGGGTCCAGTATGGACAAAGTATAACTAACTCAGTTCAATAACATAATTTGTTTTTAAATATGCATTCTCTTCCAAGTCTAGAGGTTGACTGGTTGTGTGGGACTAGACCTACAGTTGACATTCTTTACTGTGGCTGAAAATGTACGAACAACATACCCCGTTGTGGTCATAAAGTGTCCGGATAACCGGATGGTTCTCCATCTGTTGCTGTGGTGTCTCCAATGCCATGATGTCGGCCGGGGTGGCACTTTTGGACAACATCCGCTCCACATCCAGGATCTGGGCAGAGACAACACCAAGGACATCTTGTTGACATACATTATACAATACTATCTTCTGTTTGTGAAGACAACTTATCACAGACATCAGAAGGAGACAGTCATCATTTTTCGGCCATGTTATGAGAAGAGGGAAAATAGAACATGTTGTGACCACTGGAAAGATCTGTGGAAGGAGGGATAGAGGAAGACAACGAGAGAAGATTCTTGACAGTCTTGTTGCATGGCATGGAGGTGTGTCGGCACATGAACTGATACATGCTGCAGGAGATCGCAGATTATGGAGAGGCATGATCGCCCACGCCAGTCGGCAAGGCACCTGATGATGATGATGATCTTCTGGAATTGTGACAGTGAATTCCTTGTGTGGATTCCGAGGTACCATAGAGGATAAAATAAGAATATACACATGTCGTATGAGTCGACTAATTGGGATCTTCATTTAAAGTGGCAGTGTGTCTGCCTGAGAGGCAAAGAACCAACAATCTGCATACAATTAGGTCAGATCTGTTAAACGGATGTGCAGGCAACACTCAAATTGTGGAACAAGACTAAAGTCCAGAGGTGGACGAACAACCAGAACCTTTCGCCAGAGTTTACAGCCAGTGAACGCGAAGAAGATTTCACAACAGAGTGAAAAAAATTATGTTCAATGTTAGATCTGCAGGACACAGTTTGTTTTCCTTCTAATATCTGATAAGCTATGTGGCCCTAGTAATCATGCTTACCCCCCACTCTTCTGTCCTGTCAATCATTTCTGATACAGCGATTCTCCCCTACCAGACTAAAATAGTTTATAAATCACACAAACAAAATAGACAGAAAAGGTATCTTCTTCTGCGTTCAACCTTAAAAAGGTAGCTGACACATCGTGTTGTGGTTTAAAGCTAGGCTATGATACCTGAGACTTTCAGCCCTATAATCTGATTTCATCAACCTCCTAAGTAATTGCCTTTTTACAACGTGCTAATTATTTATTTTTTTTAACAGGGCTCAGGAACGCATAAGGGGATATTTCCAAGACAGAGGTCAGCAGATAAATACAAATTATTAATCAGATAAAAGATACAAGATACTATAAACTAGTTCACAAATAAGATAAACGTGACCAAAATACAATATTAAGTACCTATAAATGACATAAAGTATAGAAGATAACATTTTAAATTAAAATAACATAAATCACACAAGCCATACATTTTCCACAAAAGAATATTAAAGATTAATGATTTCTTTTTTTATATTATACATTTAAAGAGACAATCTATATTCTTTGGTCATGTGATGAGAAGGAGAAAACTAGAGTACATTGTGACGGTAGGAAAGCTGGAGGGGAGGAGAGGGAGACCGAGAGAGACACAGAGAGAGACAGACAGAGAGACAGAGAGAACAGATGCTGGACAGTTTAACATCATGGCATGAAGATCATCTGTGTCAGATGTGACTGAAAGTACACGAGACAGAAGTTTTTGGACAGACAAGACTAACAACGCCACATGGCATGGACTTTAAGAAGAAGATTATACATTTATTTATGTGCATAATTTGGAGAGTCAGAAGTCATGGGTAGGAATCTCTTGAAATACAGAAATATTTAACTACTCTCAGTGGGAAGTCACAACATCCAGCACGAGAATGGAGATGGAGGCGGTCACTTTCCAATGGCTTAAGAGAAGTATAGCCCAAGAGGAGATGTTTTTAATGGACTCATACAGCATGCTTCAGAAACTAGCATCCTATGTGTCTAGTGGCTTGCATCTCTTTATAAGACTCTAAGCCTGTTCAAGCAGGGAACAATACCTATTCAAGCAGGGAACGCTGCCTATTCAAGCAGGGAACGCTGCCTATTCAAGCAGGGAACATTGCCTATTCAAGGATGGGATAATCTCAGAGTTGGGAGAGAATCTTACTTTGATGGAAGCATCCTGAGAGCCGGTTGCGATCAACTGACCTGTGGATGGACATAGGGAAGTAGTTATAATTATGATCAAACATTCGATGACGATAATAAAGTCGGCAGTTACGCATAATTTTTTTCTTAGCATTCACCGGCTGTAAACTTCAGCAAAAAGTTCTGGTTGTTCGTCTACTGCTCGACTTTGGTCTTATTCAAAAACTTTTGCTTTCCTTGCACACTCATTTTACAGATCTGGCTTATATGTATGCAGACTGTGGGTTGCTCATCTCTCAGGCAGATGCATCTCAACTTCAAAAGAAACACCCCGAATAAGTCACATTTGATTACATCTTTGTTGTAATCTTTAAATCTCTTTTTCTCCCCCCCCCCCCCCCCCCCACCCCTAAAATCCATATAGGGAGTTACAGTTAAAAGAGACAGCATCTTTCTACTGCTACAAACTTGTTATCTCTCCATATTTTACATGATAATTTATCCTCACAACATCAACTAGGAATCTGAACAAAGAAGAAACAAACAACCATATCTTATCTGTTTTTTACTGCATGGCATATTTTGTTTACGTGGTCAGATGTATACGACAGCAACACTTTAATAAAAATGAAGCAAGCAAATGAATCCTTCCAATTGAAACATAAAATGACACTTAAAAGTAACTGCCTATTTTCCCGGGGCAATTGCATGTTCACTGCCAAGTCTTTTTGTCTGCACAAATCTCAGATGATTCATCGGCACTGCTGTCCAGATTTAGAAGACCGACTTGCGCTCATAGCAAGGAAAGGAAAGAAACAGGAGTCAAATAAGGATAAGTAACATTTACTGCGGTGTTCTTCAGCATTTGCTTTACACATAGAAAGTGGAAAAATATTTCAGCCTCTAAGAAAGACGCCAAAGAAAATGCAGACAGCATTTCATTTAAGTAAATATTATAAAATTACAACTTTTAACAAAATCTGCAGCTTAGAGTTGAGAAAATCTTATACATGCAGCTGGAGTGTTGTTTCTAAGAGATAAAGCTCTGCAATAACATAATTTGATTTCTCCATTTGGTTAAAACATTAGCCACTATAAGACTGTGGAATTTTCGGCTGATGACCAGCAATCTATTACAACAGACTCTGAAGAACACTGCTCTGGAGGATGTTGTTTCCCTCTCTGACATGATCGAACAACAAACACTGATTTACCCGAGGAATGGAAGGATGCACATCTGCATGGACCTTTGTGGGCAGTCACGTAACATGTCTCGTACAGAGCAATCTCCGGGGATATGGTTTGAACTGAATAAATAACATCAGTATATGTTACTAGAACAGATTAAAGTGTGTCAAGTGCATGGATTTTATACAAACATAAATGTGAACACAATGTTATGCCATCACAATCAACATCAAGGCACATTGG